GGGATCGCATTCGTTCGTCGAGTACTCTACCAGTGCCCCACCCCAACAGTCAGCCCCCGACCCCCACACGCGTTGCCGGCACTGGAACTCAATTCGAGTTCGAAGAGCGCGGGGATGTCATTATGTTTTACAATAACGTCTATTTGCCTGAACTTACCGTTAAATACATAATGAAATTCTCGCCAAATATTTCCGTAAGTTTTCAATGAAAATCATTTCCATATGAAGTCTTATATAACACACGATTTTGAATGACAGGAATCGCCTCCACTCTCACCGTTGCCGCGACTCAACGCAAATCCGATGTCTCCCTATCGACGAGTGTCTCAACGCTTTCCGCTGTATATCTCTCCCCTAAAGACAGCGAACTTCCCGCCGTCACCGTTGGCCGGCTACAGGATGGCCAAGGTTTCGTCAGGGCGGTTTCTGAACGCCCGGTAGTTATGATACTACTCTCCGCCCAGCAGCAGAGTCTCCCATTCGTTTGCCTATGATGTCCTGCTGTAGCTCTGTGAGAACTCTCCGACCAAAAGGCAGTGCACCGACACTATGAACCGCAAGATTCGAGACATTGTTTCCGAGAGACAAAGCATTGAATCAAACGGTGCGCTCAACAATAGTAACGGTAGCGCTGCAGACAATAGCAATGACTGAATGAATACCCGGCCCTCTGACTGTGCGTCAATCATGACGACAAATAATTTGATTTAAATTTAAATAATTATCATCAATAGTTTCTAATCTTTTAATCAAATCTTAATCTCTGCTTTTGGTAGTCTATAGTCTCTTATATATTATATTCTTTATATTTCATCAGTTTTATCAAAATTTTAGTAGATTTTTGATCATGACTTCGATAACTATATTATTAAAATAAATATTATATATTCATCCCAATAAATAAAATAAATTATTTCCTTTTGGTTGCATTTCATGTGTTTTATTAACAAATTAATGGATTTGTGTTAAACGGTCCGAAAATGTCACTCACTTTACAACGAATCCATACGTTATATGTTGTGTTGGGTTTCGAGTGAAACGAGAATTCTTTGCTTCTGACGGTTGAAGACTTAGCCGAAACTGAAGGAACTTCTTGTATAAGAATCTCATAATTGATATCAATTGTGGAGAACTGGATATAATCCAAATTCCAGGGCTGTTGCCAACTGACCCGCACAACCATTGTGTCGTTGATTAACATTTGACTACAGCTTAAGTCCACCACAACTCCCGGTTCTAACATACGTTTGGTTTCAGTCAATGACTCCAATGTCTTGTGGAATGCTTTGTGTAAAACGGGGTTAAAACTATTGATGTCGACAATAGTGTCCTGATATATGCGATACAACCAATACGGGTCACTACAGCACAACTGTTGCGGTACTTCTTCTGTTTTGGACGCAATTCTGTGCTGTTCTTCAGCCGACAAATGACTGATTCCACCAAATTCTTGGGCATATTCTTCATGAGTGATAGTGTTGTTTATGAACTCATTTTTCCAATAAAAGTAGTGGATATTCATGCCTTTTAATTGGACTAAAGTCTTATAAGGGGTCACATGAAAGGGATTTATAGCAAACGGAAACAGTTCTATAAGACTTGATCCCGGCTTCAAAAACATTGACAGTATAAGTGCTGAGCCGTGAATTCCTATCAACAGTTGAGTACAAAACACTTTTCTCACAATGTATTCAAAGTTTTGAGACAAATCATCGATTATAACGACAGGAAGTTCGGTATAACTCGATATAAAATCGATTAATTTGTTTTCATTTAATATTTTTCGGTTTAATTTTCGTGAAATAAAAATAACATAATTCGTGACACATTTGTGAGGATTTGTTATTAAATGATTACTCATATGTCGAATGGTTTTAGAAATAAGTATTGATTCATCACTGGATCTGTTGACAGGGCTTTGAGGTCTACGAAAGCCGTAGTCATACCAAGTCATGGCTTTAGACAAACCTACGAATGACTCTTCGAAACAATATATAGTTCTGTTGTTTAAATCACTTCTTGTCAATGATTTGGGAAAAACTGAACCAAAAATATTTCTATCAAAAGGTTTGTGAAATTCTTGAGTATAGATATCGTCTAAGAATATGCGATCAATTTGTTTGCGACCGATCTCTTCGAGAGTGAAATACAATGGGATTAAATCGTCGTGAAAATAGTGCATCAAATTGTCGGCTTTGAATCGACTCATGACTACTGTCTTTCCGGACAAATATCTGATTTCATACTTTTTGCTCAAATTATTGGCCAAAACATCGAAAGGAATTTCAATGTAATTGAAGTAAAATTGATTGTGATTTCTGACGGACGAGAGATCCACTAATGCCGGAGAGAATCGGTTGGAAGGGATTCCCGATCTTATGGACAGATTGTGGTCCCAAACAAATACATAGTCTTTGGTGTCTGTCTTATAGCAGAGATGAGTGAAACGACAGCGTCTTTGGCTGTGATCTGAACCCATACACCAAACAGATGTGGGTCTGAAATGTGATCAATTTATTGGTATTAAAGTTACGATTCATAACAATAAATGACATTTAAATATATGCAATATATTTAGCTTTTATTATAGTTTAAGAAACAAATTCATAATTAATTAGAAATATTCCTAAAAATATTGACACCTTTATAATAAATATAACTGCAGTGAGAGTACTAAACAAATGAAATATTTTAAATGTATATAAACTGCAGAATAATTACATAAGAATTAAATTGACAATAAAATGACTATTAATTGATTGAACTAAATATTGGTTACAATTAATTGAACACATATTCATGAATACCTTATGTCATCCACTGTTTCGTATGAATGGATAGTATTTATAGTAAATCCCAAATATTTCATTACCACTAATGAGATGAATATCACTAAAAGTACATTTAATACAAAATACTTGCAATTCATTAAAATAGTGTTAATTCTGTACAAATAATCACTATATTTATATCATAATAAAAGTAACACAAAGTTGTAAAAGTAATTTCAAATATAAACTCAAATTAATGTTTTAGTGGCAAAGCATTCAAATAAATATCAATAGAAATATAGACCAATAGTTGATTGTATGGTATGGTATGGTATGGTATTATGGCATGAGAGCGCGGCTTTCGATTCTGGTATAAAATTATGTTATTATTAGAGAAATACTTATATTTACACAAAGATTTCATAGAAATAAAGCTATTAATTGGATATTAAATAATACGTGTAATTAAAGTGTTAATTATCAATAGAGTAGTAATGAGAGTTCATTGAGAAAGTTGATGGCCTGAGGGTAGGGCAGGTGCGCCACACAGGGGTCGACCAAATCGTGCTCTATTTGGCACTCTTCTAACTTATCTCTGATTTGAATGTAAGCTTTGCTGAAGAAATTAAGTCCGTTATTGATTGAGTTGATGGGAGGGATGCCACAGGCCATCGCCATTCCCGGTCTGTTAGGGTTCGGTGTAATGAGAACCAGAGGCAGACGAATGCTTTTCTTGCTCTTGGGATTGGTTGCGGCCAATGCGTGCAATACGTATTGAGACAATAGGTTGAGAGCACCCGAGTAGCAGAAGAGGTTGGCGTCGGGAGTGCTCTCAGGAATGATGGTATACCAGAGCACGTCATTGAGCAGCGATATCTTGTGTGCGTCCACAATCACCTGCACCTGCTTTAAGATGGCCGACAACTGGAGTTTCGCCGAATCCAACCCTTTGTCCAGTAATTCCATGTTATTCGGCGACAGACAGTCGATGGCGTCGAAGAACTTCTGGTTCACGCGTTTGTCTCTGTCGGCCGACTCGAGCAGAGCCCTGGCGGCGAAGGCCACGTCATTGGAGTTGTATTTATGTTTAAAGCCGCGGTTCGCGATGAATGAGTGGCCAATGATCTGCTGCAACTGGTATTTAGTGCTCAAGTCTTCGATCCATTGCTTCACGTTATTCCTGAGCTCCAAATCCATTGACGAGAACTTCTGTTTGCATTGAGATAACGGAAGTCCGAGTTCTGCGAGGAATGCCAGCAAACGCTTGTGTCCTCTGAGTCTCCATATCTTGAATTTGCTGGAGATATACATTGTGTGCCGAAGACTCTCGTATAGACTCCAATGTCTGTATAGAGTGAGCTTCAGATCCTTTTCGTAACTCAATTTCAAATGATTATGATTTGTGACCACATTTTGGTCGCCATTAGTGGCGATTCGGTTCAAAGCAATGGTCGGTTCGCCCCTAAGATTCCTGAGTCGAGTCATCGCTTCCCGAATGTAATGGTTTTGTTGACTAAACTTTGTTTCGCTGATCTTTCCGATCTCGATGTCGTCCTGTAGTATCCGTTTGCTTACCCTCTGAGACGACGACCCGCCTCTCATCATAGTATTGATGGCCCGCAAGTCTTTGGCGGGACTGCTTTGGAACCGGTAGGACATCGGCCGGTTGGGTGACGGCGGGAAGTTCGCTGTCTTTAGGGGAGAGATATACAGCGGAAAGCGTTGAGACACTCGTCGATAGGGAGACATCGGGTTTGCGTTGAGTCGCGGCAACGGTGAGAGTGGAGGCGATTCCTGTCATTCAAAATCGTGTGTTATATAAGACTTGATTTGGAAATGATTTTCATTGAAAACTTACGGAAATATTCGGTGAGAATTTCATTATGTATTTAACGGTAAGTTCAGGCAAATAGACGTTATTGTAGAACATAATGACATCCCCGCGCTCTTCGAACTCGAATTGAGTTCCAGTGCCGGCAACGCGTGTGGGGGTCGGGGGCTGACTGTTGGGGTGGGGCACTGGTAGAGTACTCGACGAACGAATGCGATCCCAAACATAATGACATCCCCGCGCTCTTCGAACTCGAATTGAGTTCCAGTGCCGGCAACGCGTGTGGGGGTCGGGGGCTGACTGTTGGGGTGGGGCACTGGTAGAGTACTCGACGAACGAATGCGATCCCTTTCCTCCTGCATAAGCGGTGAACTCGAGCCCGAGTTACGGCTCGTGTCACTGCTTCCCGAGTGACGCCGTCTTCGGATAGAACTCATTAAAACACTTCTGTAAACCTGTCATCAAATTACGGATTAATTATTTGCAAACCATTTCATTGGAATGGAGTGAAGCCTTACATGACTGGCCGCCTGTGGTTGGAGTCGATAGCACTTCATAATGTCCTGAAATGTCTGACTCTGTTTCGTCACTTTGCAGATGGCATAGAAGGCGCACATTATTATCTGATCCAAATGTCTGTCACGCATGAGGTCTGTGTGCTGTCGAAGCGAGTGCTCAAAACAGGTCCAGATTTTCTTACGAATGTCTTCGTCGCCAATGTTGAGGCGATCGCATAGGTCTCGGAGTCGCAGTCCAGCCATAGTGTAGACCTTTGATCAACACATTAGTCAATAGTTGTCACCAAAAATAAAACCCTTAATAAAGTCATACCTTTCGGAAGAAGAGACCAATTGGTCCCGACTTCACTGGTTTAGTATTTTCGGTGACAGTGGTCTCCGTTTGATTGCTAGGGCTCTGTTGGGAATAAGTGAGAGCAATGGCCGGCACCTGAATGTACTGTATTTCGCCGTTTCCTATTTTGGCTGAATTAACAACAAAACGTAAGTAAAATTGACGCCAATATAGACTAAATGGTATGGACTGACCCGGAATCACCATTTGCACGATATGTCCCGTTTGTGAAGCACCGGCTGTTGATGTGGTCGGAGACTCCGATTTGATAGAACCGAAGAGTTGTCTTTTGGCCGAACTCTTGAACGGAGACGCGAATCGATCAGTGATGGAACCGGTGGTCAAATGGATCTCATTTTTCTTGAGATGAGAGATCGGAGAATTGAAAACAGAAGATGGAGTGCTTCCGGAGGTATTCATGGGAAGCGACACTTCGACACATGAGGGCACGTATGCTCTGACGGAGCCATTGGTGCGAATGAGGTCCCAAAGGGGTGAGTCTGACTTCCAGGCCATGCTCTCCAGAATCTTCTCTTCGATCGAATTGAGATGTTTGACGACATCTCTGGAGAGGCCGTCCTCTTCACGAATGATGGGTTCGATTACTTTATAGAAGTTAAAGGGATGTAAACGGAGATCAGTTGCCTCTGAGAACACCTCCACAACCCATGGAAACGTTTGTCTCGAGTTGTATGAGAAGAGCACGATCTCAAGGGAACAGCAGAACAAAGACAAGTGAAACGAATCCTTCTCGAGAATCGTTGTCAGACTTTCGCTCAGCTTTTCCGAAGGGATTCTCTTCTTTTCACTCAACAAAATATTTTCCAGAGATTTGTAGTAAAAACTAATCGATAGCTTTAAGCGTTTTTTGGAAAATTCGTCGTTTTGTGCGTTAGGTGTGGGCGAAGGCGGACCCATCTCTTCATTGCTGGATAGCATTCTAGAGGCCGGGGATGAGGACTGCATATCGTTATTGTATGCATTGAGAAACTTATCTCCCATTGCCTTCAATAAGACTCTAATCTTTTCCTTTGGGTTTCTAATGCAGAGTTTGAATATGGATTCGAGCGCTTCCGACGGCTCATCCTTTCTCTCCAATAGTATGGACTGAAGTCGACTCACGCTATTCGTAGCGCTGGCTATCGGAGTCATTGGAGTGATGTTCGGTCTTTGGCTCAAATACTGGCGATTTGTGAGAGGAGTGGTCGGCACCAAAGAGTTAGGGTTTGGCTGATCAGCGTTCTTGTGGTTCTGTCTGCTCTGCAGGAGTTCATGCAAATCCGTGGCACTCAACTGATCCGCACGCGTTCCCAACTCTTCAGTGGCGTTGTCGTTCAGGAAAATGCGTTCATCGAAGTCACCGATGTTTAGCACAAACTGATCGTATTCTTTCATTATATGTTTGCTGTCATCCAAACACACGTTTAGTATTTCATTCATTGAGACATTCAATCAAAACTCACTAATTGCTGTCGTAGTATATGGGATCAAAAACGCCACAGTTCTTGATCTTGAGGTTGTCTTTTTCTACCATACGTTTGATGCATGGCTTACACCAGTGCTCTTTGATAGTCTTGGCCTCCAGTGATATAGCCTTCCATTTGTCGCACAGCGCCTGTATTATGCAGGGCTGGCGGTCACTCTTTTTGGAACCGTCTTCAGCTAAATCTTTGGACACCTCTGACCACACGATTCAACATTCAATCACTAAATTCATTAACAATTAGATGACAACACTTACCGCTAAAGTTAGGATTCAATAACTCGATTGCATTGTCGACGAGCAGTGAATTGCAATAACAGTAATCAATACACGCGAGCAATAAGTGGAAAGAGTTGACCAAATCGTCGCTTATTTGCGGGAAATTGGCTTTGATTTGAACGAAGAGAGTCCAGCAAAACGAGAAAATCTCGGCCGAAGAGATGGATTGCTTGCGACTGTAAACAACATATTATGACAACTGTATCGACAATCGCTATATGAATGGCTGTATGGTTACTATACCTCTGCTTGCGATTCTTAGCATTTTTGTTGACCACAACAGTGGGATCTCTGAAGACGTTTTCAAAGATCTCTTTGTACTTAACGAAGATATTGGTGGAGACATTGAAGTTGCGCTCCAAATGGTTCACCTTTTGTCGCATATCGACCGACAAGTTGGCCATATCGGCCCACTTCTTCATTTTGCTGAAGAACTGCACCAAACTATAGGCCAAACACAAGACAATCCATGAAATGGCCGCAAATCAGACCAATTGGTGTGAAACAGACCTGAGTTTACAGAAGCGGAGCAAACGAGTCAACGAAACCAAATTGCCCTCAATTTTCACCACTTTTCCCACCGTTTGTGTCACACACTTACGACAGGCCACGTATACCGCGCACGACAACCAGTGTAACTGATCTCCCTGTCCATCACCACAACACATGACAACATTACTCACGAGTCAATCAAAGCAATCATTTGAAGCCAACAATCTAAAGGACTAAACCAGAGATAATGGCAACGAATGGACAAAACATATTGCAGTCAATGAGTGCTCACTCGAGTACTTCACACTCGACTACAACACTGCTATCATATGAATGGCCAGACCGTGGCTAACATGGGAACAGACCTCGAGAGTGTAGTTGATGCCAATCCTCTGGTACGAGAGCCAGGCCTCGTCGGCACTGGTTTTGTCCAAATTGAGATCACTTATCAACTCTTTGAACCGCTTCTTCAGCAACTCATCCGATTCACAATCTTTGCCCATTTTGTCGATAAAACACTGTTTGCTAACAATTGGTGACAAATGAACGCAAATATCTCATGCAATGTCCAGTGATTAGTGAATTGATTGGTAACTGATTAGTGATACAAATTGTTTTGAAAACAAACGACTGATTGTGTGATAGTCTGTGAGTCTGACAGACATATAAAGCACTCATTCATTCATTTAAAGCATTCACTGCTCTGTAGGGCTGTGTTGGCGCCAAACACACCACTCATTCATAACACACATACCACACATCCATACGGCAATTATGTCTCCCTTTCCATACACACAAACACATACATGTATGGTAGGGGTACTACTTGTACATCCATTTCCACACGTTATTGTAGATAATAGACCTTTTAAATAGTTCCCCATTTAAATGTGAATTCATTTAATTCTAGCAGTGATTAGCACTTCTGGTCACTCTATACGCAAATGAAATCACTTTAACCTTACGATTGACCACAACATTGAGGCCAACACTGAACGGGTCATGAAATGGCTATAATTTAAAGGCCGTATTAAAGAGCCCATAGTTTTGGCGCAATTTACGCTTAAAGGGCGTAATCACACGCATAGACAATGCATTGCATGGCATGTCATGCACTGGGGGTGAGAGGGGGTGACAGCGGGTGGAGTGGGGGAGCGATGTGTCAGTGAATGACTCATTAAACCTTTAAACCCTTTAAACCTATTTCGTGTGAAATGTAAATCATATTTATTGCAAACCATATAACTATTAAAATGTATTCAATTTAGTGAGCGTTTAGTGGGCGAAGGCATCACTTCTTGCTCTTCTTCGTACTGAATCCCACATTAGGTTTAGTTTTCAAGGATTTGTTGATACCCTGAGACCATTCCTCCTGAAGTCGACTCAGTATCTCATTAGTGATTAAACCCTTTTTGATGAGTTGTTTGCCTAACGATGACTCCTTCAGCGACTGTTTGTTGGATTTATTGAACACAAAGTCATTGATATTTGATTTGTTGGTCAGTCTCTGCAATTCGTTGATGTCTTCGTCATAAGTGGCAGAAAAGGCTCGACTTTTATGAATGTCTTTAGACTTAGGGATGAACTCGTGGTCTGAGGTGTGGGCCAAGGAGTAGGAGGTGTTGGTCTCGGAGGCGCGCAACAGTTTGGTGATACCGATCACTCCCTGAAGTATTATGAAATCCAACTCTTTCTGCATATCTCGCACTAACTCCGAGTCGGGAAACAAATCACTGAATCGATAGCTGAGCCATAGGTAGAGGTCGAGGACGTCAAACACGGCCTCCAAGTGCGCCAACTCTACGATAGTCTTGGGGGTAGTGATGGGCCAACCGATCTGTCGGCACAACCAGTCCAGAGTCATGGGTTGGTTCGTGGAGTACTGTCGCGCGTACTTCAGGAACATTGTGCACACGAACACGAATTTCGTGTTAATCGGTGCACAACAGAACACATACCGGGCCTATGGGTGACAACATATGTGACTATTGGCACACCACTCGCATCACATGATACTAACCCTGAGAGGCAGCGGCACGTGTTGTATCATATCGGCCAAGAACTTGAAGCTCTCGATGTCACACATAAAATAGTTGGATTCGTCCACTTGTGACAGACTTATGAATATATCGATTAGATTAGAAAGGCCTGCGTTCGGCAAATGGTAGGCAAACAACTCGATCTGGTCTGCCGTCGGGTGCAGACCCGCCGCCTCTATGGGCTCCACAGAGCGCGACAGTATGTCCTTAAGTAGTGGCAGATCATCGCTCCTGAATGTAGTGACGTATCCGTGAGCGAAGTCCGTGCCATACCTGCCCGCCCGACCCGCTATCTGCAGCGCCTGAGAGGTCGATATTAAGTCCATTTCCTTCTCTCCCTTTTCATTGAGTGTCGGTTTGATTAGTGAATAAAAGATGACTCGTCTTAGACTGAGATTGAGACCCATTCCGATGGCATCAGTGGCCACAAGAACTTTGCACGAATCGTTCGGATCATTGAATTTGTTTGTTTGCGACAATTTGGTGGCCGGAGGGAGAGTCCCGTAAATGACTGCCACTTCGTGTCCCTTCTTCTCCAACTCGAGACTCACTCCAAAGATATCTTTTTTACTGAAACATACGATACAATCGCCGGGTTTTATGTTATCCAACGATTCCAGTGCGAAGTCTTCGACTGTGATTGGAGTCAATCGCTTATATCGTCGCACTTCCAGCTCTTCGCCGGTCGCCGTCAACATCTCTCGGATCAGATCCAGTGCCGCCTCTTCGCCGCACAGATGTATCTCTTCAGCGGGTATTCCGAGCAGAGCCCGAGTCCAGGCCCACCCCCGACCCATGTCTCGGATCATCTGAATCTCGTCAATGACGGCCACTTCGCACTTCTCGGTCACTGAAGACATCTCAACAGTGCATGCGATGTGATTCGACGGCTTCTTGTCTTCGTTGGCGAAGCGTCTCTCCTCTCCGGTCACGAGATCACAGGGAGTGCCGTAAGTGTTGGTCTTGTGGTGCACTTCGACGGCCAACAGCTTGAGAGGACCGCAATAGACACCGGACTTGCAGGTCATGAACCTCTGGAGCGCGTGATATGTTTTGCCGCTATTAGTGGGTCCGCAATGAAAGATCACTTTCCGAGTCATACTTCTGGCCTCAGAGTACCAGTTGGGAGGAAGTCTTAAATCACTGATTTTCTTCAGCTCTTCCATGCAATCCAAGTGTGGATACAATAGTTTCGCGTGACTTAAGAAGTATGGGAACAAGTCGTCCACATTCGCCACCTTCTGGAGGATATCACTGAGAATGAGATGCAGTTCTGTGGCCAACGCTTTCGACTCAACGCAATGTCTGCGGAAACTAATGAACGCCTCATTCAAGAGCTTTGCGTTCAATCCGTTCTCTTCAGACAACCTCCTGATGGCCGGCCTTTGGATGAATTGATTCAATATTACAATCAAATCGTTTTTCTTCAGCTTATTTCCCGACAACTCTTCGCCGACACTGATATCGTCGGGACTTTGCGTGCGTCTGACGGACACCGGTATGACAATGGACTCCAAGTCCGGACTCTTGGTGTCACCGCTTTTCCAGCGGATGTGACTTTTGGTGACATTTATGAGCCCTTTATGACCACTCAATACACCATTCAATGCATAAACACTGCAATCATTTTGTCGTAATAAACGTCTTGTGATTGCCTTTTGACACAAACCTCTCCAACAACTCATTCCTACCATTCATTCAATTCGCGGATATTTAATAGTTTACAGTTAACTACCTAATCGTATATAACGTTACATTTTGGCACATCTCACGCACCCCTCCATACAAGGAATCACATGCACTGCTCCCCCATTGTTATGGTGTATATGAATTACAGTCAACTGTTTGGCACATGTTTTCTGTTTGTGTTTTTGAATGCATTTGCAATGGAATGAGAGAATTGTCACGAGATATACGAATGGCTCTGAAATACGGTTTGACTGCAAAACAAGTCATCCAATGATCGCATGATTTGATTGTAATTTCCTTTTAATTGAAAATCAGTTGAAATTCATTATTAATTGCATTGAAATTGGATTACAATTCACACAATGTTTCGGTCGGCGCTCATCAGTCAGTGCACCCGTCGCTCCGGCGCTCTCATGAAAAGGTCACAAACTCTGACCACCACTTCCGCTCTCCACAAGACATCACTCAAATCAGACCACAATCTCATGTATGCGTTGATAATCATATGATGCGAAGTGAACCACCATTTCATGGATTTGTCTTTTCGTAGGAAAAAACTCTGACCACCACTTCCGCTCTCCACAAGACATCACTCAAATCAGACCACAATCTCATGTATGCGTTGATAATCATATGATGCGAAGTGAACCACCATTTCATGGATTTGTCTTTTCGTAGGAAAAGCCCACAAATATTGGTCTCAAATGTATTTCATAAGCGAAACCCGAATCCAGTGGTGATCTCCAGAAGTAGTTATGCGTCGGAGGCGAACCTCCCGAAGCACAGCCGTGTCGTACTGCCAGCCCTGTCGCCCACTATGGAGTTGGGAACCATCATCTCGTGGGAGAAGAAGGAGGGCGACGCTCTTCACGAGGGAGACCTCTTGGCTGAGATCGAGACCGATAAGGCAACCATGGGTTTCGAGACCCCGGAGGAGGGCTTTTTGGCCCGCATTCTGGTCGCCGCCGGTACTAAAGACGTGCCCATCGGAAAGGTAGCACACATTCACTGATATTACAGTCATTTATCTAATTATCACTCAATCGACAGCTTTTGTGTATTATTGTTGAGACCGAGTCCGACATCCAGGCGTTCAAAGACTATGTGGACACCAGTGAAGCCGTCAAATCGGCCAAACCAAGCGCGCCGTCTAAGGCAAGTGCGCCGTCAGCTCCCAAACCGTCAACGGCTGCACCGCCGCAACCCATGGCTACGAAGTCAACCGTCTCTTCTGTCGGAATCGGCGGCCGATTATTCGCGAGTCCTTTGGCCAGACGTTTGGCCGCAGAGAAAGGTATTGATTTGACGGCACTTTCAGGCGCCGGGAGCGGTCCCGGGGGTAGAATTCGTGGCGCAGACGTCTTGAGCGCACCCATCGGTGTAAGCGGTGGTCCGCGCGCTCTCGAGTTCACTGACATTGTGTTGACTAATATGAGGCAAACAATTGCCAAACGACTGTTGCAATCGAAACAAACTATTCCTCATTACTATCTGACTGTTGAACTAGAAATTGACGAACTCTTGAGGTATGGCTTAACCAACCATTTATTTGCTTCCATTACGAAATTTTTTTGTTTTAAATTTGTTTTTAGATTAAGGACTCAATTAAACGAAATGTTGAGCAAAGAGAAGATCAAACTATCTCTGAATGACTTTATAATAAAGGCCTCATCCCTGGCCTGTATGAAAGTGCCCGAAGCCAACAGCGCATGGATGGAGACATTTATTAGACAATACACTTCGGTTGATGTGAGCGTTGCCGTCAGTACTGACGCCGGACTCATAACTCCCATAGTGTTCAACGCCGACAGAAAAGGAGTTAAAGAGATATCGCAAGAAATAAAACAATTGGCGGTTAAAGCGAGAGAAGGTATGAATGAATGGAATAAAAGTGTGGATTAAATAGTATTTGAAAATTTATGACTGTATGAAACGACAGGTCGACTGCAACCCAACGAGTTCATGGGCGGCACGTTTACGATATCCAATCTGGGAATGTATGGCATTAACAGCTTCTCTGCGGTCATAAACCCTCCGCAGTCCTGTATTCTGGCGGTCGGCGGCACTGACAAACGCATTGTTCCCGACAGTGACGGCAATCGTAGAGTCGCGTCCTTCATGACAGTCACTCTTAGTTGTGACCATAGAGTAGTTGACGGAGCGGTTGGCGCCCAATGGCTACAAGCGTTCCGTCAGTACATAGAAAAACCCTTTTCAATGGTTCTATAAGTTAGGTCTCAAATAGTTGTGATTTTATTTGTTTTGTTTTTAATATAATTTAATTCATTGCTGTTATGATTTTAGATCTAATTATTCGAAAACATTATTATTATTCAAATGGTTTCACATGAATGTTATACAAATTATGATTAAATGTTTCCAATTAATGTTATTTAAAGTAAATTAAATTATTGAAAAAAAATGTTTCGTTTTTAATCAAATGTAATCATTAATCGTCGCAACCAATAGCAGTATTAATGTGGAGGACGAGGTAATCCCGGAGCACCGGGAGGTGGAGCGCCTCTCATCATTCCGGGCGGAGGAGCTCTCATACCAGGAGGTGGTCCCATAGGCGGTGGACCCGCTGGAGGCATACCTCTTCCGAGTGGCATCTGTGGGGGTGCGCCCGGCATACCTGGAATCAAGCCAGGAGGCGGACCCATAAGGGGCGGCCCACCTCTGCCTGGAATGACAGGGGCGGCCGGTGGAGGGGCCGCTGGAACTCCTCTTCCTTGCGGAGTCATAACAGTGGCGGCCGGACCGCCAACTCCTCGAACTGGACCCTGAAGTCCAGGCGGAGCGCCGGCTACTGGAGCCGCTGTTGGCAGACCCCGACCCACTGCACGACCAATTCCTGGGCCCGGCATTGATCCCGGAATGGGAACTCTCGGCACGCCTTCCTATTGTATATTTAATATGAATTAATTCCATAATCAATGCTATTTCTAAACAAATGACAAACTTTTGTGGTTTTGTTTCAATGCATTTCATCTATAATACTGTTCTATGGTTTAAAAAGTGTCTCAATCTGTTCAAGGTCCTATTCAATACATGTTCCATCATCTCAATAATGGAATCGTCTTTCATTAGTTTGTGTGCAAAATGAGTGAATATAATGATTGTTATAATTGTGATAAGAATTGGCAAACAATGCAGAGGAGGAGTGGAGGACAATGTCATTCATACAGTAGTATTGGTTTTGATAGAATACGTGTTGCTATACAAATACTTGTGGTGTACTTGTCATGAATGGTGCGTAAAGGAAAGATAGCAACGGTTGACGTGTGTGAGAGTGGTGTGTGAGCATCGATCGATGGTGTCCTCGCTCATTGGGCTCACTCTGTTCGCCAGCAAAGGTAACATCACATCAAATGGTATAACAGATCTGATGCTCGGAAACCTTGAATCGCGTTTCAATGCATTCAAAGCCCTTGAAAGAGTGGAATAGAGATGAGGGGAGCGGACGATCACCTCTCGATGACCTCCACTACTGCCTGAGCC